CCCTAAAAAAAAATTGTGCTATCGCGAAAACGTGTTAAGCGGGTACGTGTTAAATGAGGAATTACTGTATCTGCCACATGGACCTGCATTACAAGCAAAGTGCTTTAGCAGTGGAAAAGGATTAGACTGCCCACTGCAGATATGGGAAGCAGCAAGAACTTGATGGATCACAGTCAAGCTGGAAGGGCATATCAAGTGGAGTCCTACAAGGATCAATTTTGGCTCTGGTTCTGCTCAATACCTTCATCAGTGATTTAGATAACTGCACAGAGTATACTTACAAAGTTTGTGATGATACCAAGCTGGGAGGAGTTGCACGTAGTTTGGAGGACAGGACAAAAATTCATTATCTGGACAAACTGGAGAAACGGTTTGAAGTAAACAAGATGAAATTCAAGAAGGACAAAGGCAAAGTACTCCACTTAAGAGGGAACACTCAGTTGCACACATACACAACTGCAAAAGATTGCCTAGGAAGGAGCACTGCAGAAAGGGATCAGAGTTCATAGTGGATCAGAAACTAAACAAGTGAACAGTGTGACACTTGCAAAAAAGGCAAACATCATTCTGGGATGTATTAGCAGAAGAGTTGTAAGCAAGACACAACAAGAAATGTTTCTACTTTACTCCAGGCTATTGATACTTCAAATGGAGTATTGTGGCCAGTACCAAATGCCAAGACTGAGAGGGAACACAATAACTGTTTTCAAGTACATAAAAGATTGTTACAAGGAGGGAGAAAAATTCTTCTTAATCTCTGAGGATGGGACAAGCAGCAAATGAGCTTAAATTGCACCAATGGTAGTGTAGGTTGGACGTTAGGAAAAACTTCCTATCAGGGTGGTTAAGCACTGGAATTAATTGCCCAAGGGCGTTGTGAAATCTCCATCATGGAAGATATTTAAGAGCAGGTTAGACAAACATCTGTTAGAGATGGTCTAGAGAATACTTAGTCCTGCCATGGATGCAGGGGACTAGACTAGATTCACTTTACAGGTCCCTTCCAGTCCTATGGTTTGTCATAGCAGCTGAAGAGAAATAATGAGGTAGTGAATTAGAGTGCAGCTTCCTGTCATTACCCACTTGCTGCGGTTTGACTTTATGCCATTTCAGTTATTGTTAACTCACATCCTATACGTTTCTCCCTGTGCTGTGGCTAAGGTTTCTCTGCTCTAGATACAAATTGAATCTCTGTGGTCTGTGACTCTCTGGTCCAGCAACATCTATAGCAGGGGTTCCCAAACTTTTTGACACGGGGACCAGTAAATCCATCCACGAGCTTTTGGAGGACCAGTAACATTCATTTGCAAATTTGCATATTCATTAAGCAAATGATGAATATTCAAATAAGTTGTTTCTGGTCTTCCCAAAGCCCCCAGTGCTAGCTTTGGCAAAGCTTTTGATACGGTCACCCACAATATTCCTGCCAACAAGTTAAGGGAATATGGATTGGATAAATGGACTGTAAGATGGACAGAAAGCTGGCTAAACCAGGGTTTGCCAAACTTTTTACTTTAGTTGGAACCCGTTTTTTTTTCAGTACTATTTTTTGCAGCCCAAAAATATAAACACACATAACAAAAGAATTAAAAATGAATACATTTTCAGTGTTTCACCCGACTGCATCCTCCGCCCAGCCTGGGCCAGGGCTTGGGGGACCCGGCGCCACATGGGCACTCCAGGAGGCAGGAGCAGATTGAGGGTAGGGTATCTGTCTAGGAGGAAAGGTACAAGGAGGGGTAGGGTTGCCAGGTGTCCAGTTTTGTACCGGACAGTCCGACATTTGAGGGTTCTGTCCAGGAAACAAATTGAGAAAATACTGGATATTTTATATGTCCGATATTTTCTAATTAGGTAAGTTTTATTATTATTATGTGTATCAATCCGTAGCTGCGAACTGCCTGGCTGGTAGATGTGCTCACGCTGTGCGAGTGTGTCTACCACCCAGGCAGTTCGCAACTACTCGAGGGAGGGTATAGGGGGGAGGGGGGAGAATAGAATCCCCAGGGCTGGACTCACTTAAGGGACCCGGGTCTGCACGTGCCTGGGTTAGTCCCGCTTCCCGCCGACTGATTTGTTTCCCCCTCCCTTCTCCTCCTGATCTCTCCCGTCCAGCCCTGATTCCAGAGGTTGGTTCTCCAGTCTTCCTCCTCCCCTGGCCAGCCCCACTGCCCCCCGTCCAGCCCTGCTTCCACTGCCCGCTCGCCCCTATCTCTGTCAGACAGCCCCACTGCCCACAATCCTGCTTCCCAGCAGCCGGTTTCTCTCCTCCCCGCCCCCCCCCCACACCTCCTCCCAGCCTGCTCTGCCCTGCTCTGCTCCCCTCCCAGCACAGGCACTCTGAGGCCCGGTATTTTTTTCCCGAGCCTGGTACTGTGAAACGCTGCTCTAGAGAACTGTGATGATGCATTATAATAGCTTTAAGTTGCCATTATTAGACAAATTAGCTATCCAAAACTGCAAGCACTGCCAAGGTACTGCTTAAGTTTATCAACACTGAATATTCTGCTATCCAAAACTGCAAGCAAAGGTACTGCTTAAGTTTATCAACACTGAATATTCAACATTTGTGAACTTTATTTTGTGATCCATAGAGAATCGTTTTTAAGTGAAAAAAAAAAAACACATAACATTACCTGCTTTATTGCTTTATTTTGTGATCCACAGAGAATCGTTTTTAAATGAAAAACACATAACATTACCTGCTTTATTTAATAATTTGTTCTTCATTCCAATGAAGTGTTGAAAAAAGCACAATGTTGTTTAGAACCTCATAAGGACAGATTTGATAAACATCAGACAGAAATCTAAATTAGTTAAGAAAATTGTTGTAACTTAAAGGGTGGGGAGCCTCAGGACCAAGGACCAGATGCAGCCCCCAGCTTGCCACATCTGGCCTTTGAGACATTATCTTCATTTTACAGGGGAGGCAGCTGACATACAGAGGTATTAAGTGACTTACCCAAGACCACATCAAGAGTTAGCATTAAAGCCAGAATCAGAACATAGTTGTTCCGGGCATTCATCTTAGCCTAGGGTTTAAAAATCACAAAACACTGCTTCTCAAATTAAGAAAGAGTGCTCTGCCAAGACAACTGGCACTAGTGGAGCAAGCTTCCATGCAGAGAGCTGGATTTCAAGGAGTTCAGTTCCATGCCCCAAGTCAGCAGAAGCTGCAAGCGCTATGAAGGCTGTGTGACCAATGCACCCATTGGTGCAACCTAGCTGAGGGCACAGAGGTTTTACAGGGATCCCCATGGTCAGATATTGAATAACCATTCAAAAGGAGGGATATGAGATCTCCTCTAAGTAACCTAATCGTCATCGTTATCATTTTTAAATATTATCTGTACATATATTTTACGAGTTATGAATCTATACTGAAAGTTTTGTTCTTACGGTCTCGGCATTATGTCAGTCACGTGGAAGTGACCTACCTAGGACATACTGCTTTCAGGCAGGAAATAACCATCTCCTTGTCTGGCCAACTGTGCATTATATGCCTCTCAATGTATGCTTATTTGCATACTGAGCCAGAGGCAAAAAGTAAGATAGTTTAATCTTGGAGAATTTGCAAATGGGAAGGAGGGTCCTGTTTATAAACACAGGCAAAGGATTCTTTGGTATATCCTGGGGTGGAAGGAAATCCACAGGAGACTTTACGCAGGAGTCAAGCGGACAGCATGCTTGTCTCATTTTTACAAGCAGCCTGGCGGAAAGCACTGCAATGACTCTGTGGGAGCAATACTCTACATAACATGAGAGTAGTTAATTAGGTTCTAGGATCCACATGATGATTTAATTTCATCTGTAGCCACGTGTTTAATACTTCTGCTTGCTACTACTTGATTTTATGCTTTAACCGACTTAGGAATGTTTATATCAAAAATAAGTAAGTGCTGTGAGTTACACAAAGCAGTGATCTGAAGTGAAATGGCTAAGCTGGGGTGTCCTGCTTCTTTGGAAATAGAAAATTGTGACTACTAAGAGTGTTCAGTTGATCCAGGGCTGGACTGGCCAAACAGACTCGTGGAGGGCTTAGGGAATGGTGTGTGCCTAATATCCTGGAGACACAGAGCAGGGCCTGGAAGGCCTAGATGGAAGTGCTTATGTCATCCATGTTCAATGGAGCTGTCCTCCCATCAAGGACAGACAAAGCTTCTTTATGCTAGAGCAGGTGATCGCAAGATTCCTCAACCCAGAGTACCCCCAGCAAGTGTCATAGGCAGCACCCTATATCCTGTAAATACTTATTGCAGACTCAGCAAGCTTTTGATCCTTCTAGGACAAGACCCTGCATAGCTCAGGGGGGTGGGGCAAGAACAGGAGGGAGTAGAAGACAGAAGAAAGAGATGGGAGATGTCTGATGAATTGACAGAGCCAGCCATGAATTAAACTGAACAAGCCTAAAACAAGTAAGTCGGAAACAAGTGTCTGTATTCTACAGATAGGAAGAAGTAAAACAGCTTTTTAAGAAATGGTGCAGCTAACAAGCTGCCTCAGCAAATGCAGGGAGGTGCGGTAGTACCATTGGCTCTGAGTCCCTGTTCAGAGTTGCCACAAAGGCCTCCACTTGACCCTGTACTAAGTATCTTTGACCAGGAGAAACTTGATAGGCAGCACAGGAAAGGAGAGAAATGCAAAGGGAATAGTAAGATGGGGACAGACAGAGAAGGAGAGCAAGATAGGAAGCTACATGAAAGGAAACCTAAAGAAAGCAGATGGAAGAACAGCATGGAAATCTACTTGGAAGATTCAGGAGAAACTAGAAACAGTCACTGGAAATAAATAGGAAGAAAAACAGACAAAATAAACAGCAAGTAGGAAATTAAGGTGACAAGGAACAAGAGACACAAAGGAAACAGACATTTTTAAGCAATGTCGTTTAGATTTGTATCCTGAATGAGATCTTCCCAGTACTGATGTTTTCAGCAATAATTTCTTTCAACAAATTAAGGGGAAAATAATCTCACTGTTTTTATTCAACTCCGTCTGCAGTAGTTATTTCATGTCATTCAAATCCTTACCTTAGGTAGGCCAATGGATTCCATTGCTCTTAGCCACTGCACTGTATTATCCGTGTGTCGAAAATGAAGGCCTGATTTCTAATTGGAAGGAGTGCAAGGGAGAGAGGGAGGGAGAGACAAGAGATGATTGAGAGATTATTTTCTTTAAGCTCTGTATCTTCCTTCACTTAACAATTTTGCACTTCTCCTGTGAATAAATTTCTCAACTTTATCAGTATGTGACCCTAAAGCCAGAAAGTTTCAACTGCATGCCAAATAAGGCAGTTACATGCCATGTAACTCATCCTTTTAGGTGGACTTTGTAATCCCAATGCCTGTGCCCCAAATCCTGTTTCCATGCAAGTTTGTTCAAAGAGTCCCATTGTTAACAAGGCAAGAAACATTTCTATAGAAGCCTTCTTTATTAAGCTTCTGTTCTAGTTGGGCAAGGAAAGCCTGAAATGCAAATACGAGAGAAAGGTCTGTTACAGAAAAGAGATAGTCTTATAAAGTCTTCTGGGAAGTTCAAGTGATTTATGATTAGAGGGTATGCAACATAGAAGAGAGCACATGAAAGTCATTTTTGCCAAAAATTTGAGAAGTGGGCCCATTTAGTTGAAATATTCCACTAAACACAAGCCCTTTTCACTGAAATTCAATTGTTTCCAAGGTTTTGTTTATTTTGTTTTGTTGCAAGCTCATTCTGAGCATAAGCAGTCTTCAAAATCTTAAGTTGGAAATTTGGAGTATCCATTAGTTTAGTTTAAAAAAAAAAACCAAAAAAAAAAAACCCACACACAACAATATTTGAAGTGAAATTTCCTGAAATACTGAAAAATTCTGAATGAAGTTGTCAATGTGTTCTCTCTCTCTCCCTCGCCCCTCCCCCTTCTCCCCACATTGGAAGTAGCTTTTCAGTATTTGGCCAGTTTGCCAGGCATAGATTCAGAAATCCCTCCCTTTTCATGGGATAAGGCTATGGACAAATTTACTCTTTTTTTTTAAAACCATCTCCAAAGTAGGACAACAGAAGAAGAGGTGCCGTTACCTTTTGGGGGGAGGAGGGAGAAAAGCCTGCTTTTAATCTTCTCTCACATATACAAGTCATATAATACAAACCAGTCACTAATTGCTACTGATAAAAGTTTAAGAACCTTTTTACCCACACTTTTATTGGTGTTTAGGGTGTGGCTGGGTGTCCCTTCTCTTGAGGTGTTTTAGCAGGTTTTATGTTCTTCACCACTTTGGAGTCATGTATTTTACTATAAATAAATATTTATAAAGTGTTTAAAAAATTTTGTAAAATGCCTCAGATTTTAAATAGAGAGGTGGAGTAAAAATATTTAAATCAATCAATAAATAAATGTCATGTATGCATTTGACTGTTAAGTACTTGAGTGTTAAACGTTTTGTTCAGTTCTTGAATGGTTATATAATCAAATCTGACCACAAATTCACAGAAAAAAATAAAACTGACAATTTAAAAAGCAATTTCCCGTAAAAAGCCAGAAGTTTTGTAGCAACTGTTTTCTCAGTACAAGTTCTGATTAGAATCAAATCTTCTGAGGTATATTTCCCAATGAAGGCTTCATGTCAACATATGAATGTGCACAATTCAGATATGCTCTTTTCATAGCTCACAATAGCAACACAAAAAAAGCCTCCCTAAATACCATTTATTCCTCCACCCAATTTCAGGCGACGGTGTCGAAGAACCTCCCTGCATGTGAATGCCCACCTGAGATTTCCATGCAACTACTTGATTACAACTCCGGAAGTCTGACCGCTGTAAGGCCATGTCTACACTAAAGGTAAGATTGAAGTAGCTGCAGTCGATCTTCCAGGGTCCAAATTAGCGGGTCTAGTGAAGACACGCTAATTCGAACTGAGAAGGGTACTCCAGTTGATGCCAGTTGTCCTGGTTCTACAAGGAGTAAGGGAAGTCGAAGGGAGAGTGTGCTCCCTTTGACTTCCTGCAGCGTGGATAATGCTAAAATTCGACTTAACATGCTTTGACTTCAGCTATGTTCATTGTATAGGTTAAGTTGTGTATCTTAATTTGAACTTATCCCCTAGTGTAAACCAGGAGTAAGAAACCAACATTAAGGCTATGATTTGTCACAGAAATCATGAATTTGAAGAGAGTATGTGAAATCCTGGAAATTGCTGTAAAAATATTTGAACTGGGTCCCCAAACCAAGCAGGGTCAAGATTTGGTGCACAGATTCATAGTACCTGTTTATAAATTCCAATTCTTGGAATTTTTCCAACATGAAGCTGAAGGTGTGGACTGGTTAGTTCCTCCAATCTTCAGTCTGAAGGTAACCCCTCACTAGCACATTCCTTTGAATGAAAGCTCTTCAGGCTTGGAATAAAAGCTTTTATGCTTTAGACTAGGTCAGCTGCAACTAAAAATATCATTTGATTGCTGTCCAAAGATCTACGCAAGTTGAGTCTGGTTGCCTCCATTTCCTAGTGGGCACATAGCCACATTACAAAAATTTAGGCATCATCTGGCACAGGTTTTGTAATCTCTCAGTAGCACTATGGGAATCATGATCATAAGCATAGGGAACCTTCTACTTTGACTTTCTGGGAAAAACCCCTTTAGGTCAAAGTTGACTCAGTGTTGAAGCAGTATGGAGAATTTTGCCTTTTTGCTGCTCCTGGTGGGCTTCCAAAAAGCTTGCACTTCTCTAAATCGTGTGGAAAGAGAATTTCACAAGCAGGGCATGTTAATATTAGTACTAAATTCATACAAAAAGATAAGGTGATGAATACAGGAACGTGCCAGATTGTGAATTATACTAATAAAAAGTTATCCAGTCACACTTGTTGAAATGAGGCTTTTGTGTTTTATAAGAACTGGCAGTTTAACATTTTATCTTTGAAAGTGTGATTTCAGTTACCACAATATAGTTTATCTTTGTACTGAGGAAAAAATGGTGTATGAGAATATTTGTACCGTGGACTTTCTATATTAACCATCAAAATGTAAGAGGAAGCATTTCTATAGGCCAATCAGTATTAAGATTATATACACTACCGCATACAATGGTGGCATCAAGAGTTCCTTCCACCTTAAGAACAATAGCAACAACAGTTTCTAGTGGACTTCATATTTTCTTGAATTAGTTTCATCTCCTTAAAAACAAAGTAAGGACACATCTAACCTAAAGGGCATCTTTCAAAGAGACTGAAGTTTTACATAAATTCAAAACTGAACATTCTGTGATGTCTTCTGAAATCCATATATGATTTTCAATGCTGCATGATGAACTTTCCAGATTCCAACTCACTAACAGGGCATGGATATCCACAGAAACATCTGTACATCTATAGAACTCCTGCCTATTGCACATGAGCATGTGGACCCTGTTGCTATGCACTAACAGTTCCCAAGGTTACTTCAATGCCTCAGCACATACTTGGGAACTTTTAATGCACAGCAACAGGGTGCACACAGACAGGTGTCATGAAGCACACTAGAGTGCTATGGATTTACATCACAACTAGCATGCCATACATATTTACGTAGACAAGCTTGTAAGTCAAATATTGACAAAGTCAGTTCCATCACCACTGCATTTCAAGCCTCAATTTCAGGAAACAAGGACCATCCTTCCCTATCAGCTAACAAGACCATTACTTGGGGGGGAAAAAAAAGTTAAGACATATGCTCCTGTTTTAGGGCTACCCAAGAGACAGACGCCCTAACTCCAAATATGGTAAGTAAAGAAGGAAAAAAATTTTAAAAGCATAAGCATTATTTTAAAGTTATATCCACATTTATCACATGGGATCCTAAACAGATTCTTCATCATCACTAAGTAGCTTGTGAATACAACAGGAAAACTTCCTGTGTTTGATTTTTGTTCTTCCACGTTAAAGTGTTTGATATTAAAGCTAAATCATGCATATCTCATTAGGAGACTATTCGCAAACAATTTTTTTAAATAAATTGTCATAGGACGTGAGGCCTCTATTTCCTAATGGATTGTAATTTTACAAATGGTAATGCTTTGTGTCCTTATCAAAGCTTTCCCTGGAGATGAAAGCACTTTTTTGGTCTTAAACCTTTGGTACAGCTATCATGTTTTCTCTGTGCAGTTTTTATTGTATTGCCTCCCTGCTCTTTAGGGCTACAGTTCCCATCCCAGCTGTGACCGCAGTCCTTCAGACTATGGGGAGATCTACAGTAATTTGTGTGCACGCAACTGGTGGGAGAAAGGTAAGATTAATTTCTCTGATGATACAACACAAATGACCTTTAACAGTGAAACAAGAGGAGTAGAATTCCATATTTATTAGGACACAAAACATTATTTGCATCAGCAGCCTTGTGAACATGACAGGCACAAGTTTTTGCAGTGCTAAAACAGAGTCAGAAAGATGGAGCCAAGAGCAACAACTATTGAGTTTTAGCTTTTGACTAAAAAAAAAAACAAAAAACAAAAAACCTCAGACAATGAAACCTTAGTTACCTTATATCGTGTCTGTTCCACATCATAGATTTTCTTCTCAGAGACCATTTTAGGGGCAAAGAATTTTGCTAGTTTGGCAAGGTAAACTCCATTTCTTAACCCTTCTTCCAATTCAGTAGTGGGCGGCAGTTCTTCATCCAAACAAACCTCCATCCATCTACAAAACACAAGGCCAAGAATTACCTGTTGGCTCCAATTTTAACATGATACAGTATATTAGAACAGTCATCCCTTTTATATATGGTCTCACATAGTAACCTTTGCAGCAGCAAAAACTCCACACTTCTATTAAGTGTTAATAGAAGTACCGACACATGCACAGGGCAACAGAAGGGCAGCTACATGTGTGCTTTGATACAACAGATGGAAATTACCACTAACGGAGCTGTAACAGCTTATGTATCAGAGTCTAACTACCAAAATAAGGAGTCTGATAAATTTAAGTACTTCACATCCTCATGGAACAGGTATGCATCTGCACCTCCACCTACTATAGTGTTGCATTTCTTTATTAATGTTAATGAAAGCAATTGACTAAATAGCAATTTTCATGCCATTTCTATTCAAACAACATTATGCCTAGCAAATAGAGACAGTGCTATAAACATGTTCCCAAAGACCCTCAATTGTAGTGACTATATAGTTCATTGGTAAACAGGGTTAAAGTCCTTCCTCTATTAAATCAGAAGGCATGAAGGATTTGATTTGTATCTGTGAATGTTTAACTGCCAATTTCACCACATTCATGTCAACTGACACTATTTCCATTGATACAAATTCAAGTTTACAGAAATAAGAAAATCATGTGCAACATCATGCTGATATGCATCAGGAAACAGACTGCCAACTTAGTGAGCTCACAGGCAGACCATATTGTTGTTGTTAAGACCTACTATATAACCAAGTAAAAAGCAACTCTGATAAAATTTATAAATTTCAAGAAGGCTTTTGATATTGTGTCCAGGTTGTCTTTGGAAAACAGCACTCTATAGAACACCAAAACCAATCAAGGCTATATACGATAATGCTGAATGTGCATTAAGACACTGACAAACCAAGTAAGGCAAGGGTTTATTCCCCCCCCCCCCCACTGTTATTGACACATAAGGAAAGCAACTACAGAAGGCAACTGAGGAAAATGTTCTGAGCGTAATTGGATGGCCTCATTTTTGTTGAAGATATCATCCTGCTTAGTTGAACTTACACTTTAATGAGAGACAATACAGAGCTTTTGGCAGATACAGGAAAATAAGTCTGTTTGTTCCCCCAACAAGGAGAGGGAAAGGGGAAGACAAAAAAGTAAGGGCTGTCAATGCCCCCAAAGTAACCATAGAATGGATGAAGCAACACTAAAAATAAGTCACTTTACCTTTCAAGAGAGATAACGGCAGTGTTAGTGATAGCATACTAGATATCAAACAAACATAAAAGCAGCAAACAACTTTCATAAACCTGAAAAGATTTGGAAACTAGCATGATTGGCATTTTACAAAAAACACTTAAGTCAGCAGCAGGGTCATGGAAATAGAAGAAACGGAAAGATCCACTCATTCCAAAGGGATGGAGGAACGTAAGAACGGCCATGCTGGGTCACACCAAAGGTCCATCTAGCCCAGTATCCTGTATTCCAACAGTGGCCAATATCAGGTGCCCCAGAGGGAGCGAACAGAACAGGTAATCATCAAATGACCCCTTCTCCTGTCATCCATTTCCAGCACCGGACAGAGGCTAGGGACAACATTCCTACCCATCCTGGCTAATAGCCATTGATGGACCTAACCTTCATCAATCTATCCAGTTCTTTTTTGAACTCTGTTAAATTTCTGGTCTTTACAACATCCTCTGGCAAAGAGTTCCACAGGTTGACTGTGCACCCTGTGAAGAAAAACTTCCTTTTGTTTGTTTTAAACCTGCTGCCTATTCATTTCATTTGGTGACCCCTAGTTTTTATATTGGGGGAATAAGTAAATAACTTCTCCTTAGATACTTTTTCAATACCAGTCATGATTTTAGAGGCCTCTATCATATGCCCCCTACGTCTCCTTTGTTCTAAGCTGAAAAGTCCAAGTCTTTTTAATCTCTTTTCATATGAGACCTGTTCCAAACCCCTAATCATTTTTGTTGCCCCTTTTTCTCATCCTTTTCCAATGACAATCTCTTTTTGAAATGAGGCGACCACATCTGTATGCAGTACTCAAGATGTGTGCAAACAATGGCTCTATATAGAGGCAATAAGATAGTCTTATTCTCTGTTCCTTTTAAAAAAAATATTCCTAACATTGTTTGCTTTTTTTAAACTGATGCTGCACATTGGATGTTTACAGAGAACTATCCACAATGACTCCAAGAGCTCTCTCCAGTGGTTACAGCTAAATTAGTCCCCATCATTTTGTATGTGTAGTTGGGATTATTTTTCCCCATATGTATTACTTTGTATTTATCAATATTAAAATTCATTTTCCATTCTGTTGCCCAATCACCTAGTTTTGCAAAAACCTTTTGAAGCTCTTCAGTCTGCTTTGTTGTTTACTATCTTGAGCAATTTAGTATCACCTGCAAATTTTGCCACCTCACTGTTTAGCCCTTTTGCCAGACAATTTATAAATAGGATTGGCCCCCGTGCAGACTCTGGAGGGACACCACTAGCCACCTCTCTCCATTCTAAGAACTGACCATTTATTCCTGCTCTTCGTTTTCTATCTTTTAAACCAATTATCAATCCATGAAAGGACCTTCCCTCTTAGGTAAATTGTCATGAATTAAGAGCCTTTGGTGAGGGACCTTGTCAAATGCTTTCTGGAAATCTAAATACACTATATCCACTGGATCTCCCTTGTCCATATGCTTGTTGACCCACCCTACCTCCCTCTCCCCCAGCCCTCAAAGAACTCTAGTAGATTAGTAAGGGATTCTGTAAAGGGAAATCATACATGTTGACTTCCCAACAAATTATGTTCATCCACATGTCTGACAATTTTATTCTTCACTATAGTTTCTGTATGATACTAAACTAGTCTCAGCTAGTTTTGGGAGGAGGTTTTGGAACAAATAGAAAAACTTAATGTTAACAAATCTCCGGGACCAGATGGCATTCATCCAAGGGTTCTAAAAGAACTAAAAAGGGAAATTGCTGAGCTATTATCTGTGGTTTGTAACCTATCCTTTAAATCGGCTTCCGTACCTAATGACTGGAAGGTAGCCAACGTGACACCAATATTTAAAAAGGGCTGTAGAGGCGATCCTGGCAACTACAGACCGGTAAGTCTAACTTCAGTTCCGGGCAAAATAGTAAAAACAATAGTAAAGAATAAAATTGTCAGGAATGTAGAAGAACATAATTTGTTGGACAAAAGTCAACATGGTTTCTGTAAAGGGAAATCCTGTCTTACTAATCTATTAGAGTTCTTTGAAGGGGTTAACAAACATGCAGACAAGGGGGATCCAGTAGATACAGTATACTTAGATTTTCGACAAGGTCCCTCACCAAAGGCTCTTGTGTAAATGACAT